TATGCGAGCTATTATTTTTGCAGTTACACCGTCTTCAGCTCTGGTAAAATTCAAACTCCTGATGTGTACCTGTTTTACTAAAGGCTAATTTTTTAAAAATTTTTTTAGAACTTCTTAGTGTTCTGGGCATTTAGTATAAATGAACTGACAATCAACATTTTCACCAGCAAATCAACACTGTTTACAGAGTCAGCAAGTATTCAGTGAAGCTACAGCTTTAGTGCCCAATTATCTTATGATGAATATCCAGAGGTGGAAAGAGTACTAAAATATTTTACTCAAGTACAAGTAAAATTACCTAGTAGCTCATTTAAAATTTACTCAGAGTAAAAGTTACATAGTTACTTTTTTGTCAACAGGAGGACAGCCTCTTCTGAGTAGTGCAAAACAGACAATGGGATAAATCTCAAAGTAGTTGTTTTTTAATTAAAAGAAAATCTTTACAAATTAAAGTGCAGTGGCGGTTAAACTGCAAGTCTATACATCAAAATGGATAATGGTCACCAAACCAACCAACCAAACTGTCAAAACCATTTAATTCTTTTACATGTGAATGTGTTCTAAACTGTCAAATAAGAGAACAAGTACTGAATTGAGCTGTACGGCAGCTGCTATAAAAATGTGTTTTAATTTTTTAAACTTGGCCCTGCTTTGTTAATTTTGAGGAACAATTCAATTCAATTCAATTCAATTCAATTCAATTCAATTCAATAAAACTTTATTGATCCTGAAGGTTGACCCCGAAGGAAATTGGGTTAAGGCTGCCGGGCTTTGCCAGCGCTATCTTACCCTCCGACCATACACACATTACACAAACATCGCATGGGGAAGACAGGTCAGAGAGATATAACGATGGAAAATGCACAACATGAGGAAAGATAAGGAGAATAAAATAACTCCCCCCAGACTGAGCTCCAACAGGGAGATTTAATTTGAGAACAGAGAAAAAACACCTCTGCACATAGCACATGTTATTCTTTTGCCTGCAGTGTGAACATATGTGGGTCAAGTAAGAAAGTAGCCACTTCTGTCTTCTGTCTAATTTAACAAATTTTTTTAAAATAAATTATTATTATTAACAAACAGGAAAAGTAAACACATTTTCTTTTGGCAATTTACCAATCAAGTAAAAAAAAATTTAAGTTGCGTGGACAACAACGTGCCCAATAACAGCTTATGTCTTAGCTTAATGTGATTAACTTGAGCACAGCCTTTTTTGCTAAAATAAAAGTACAAGTTTCATTTAACTTACCTCTACATGCTTGCGCAGGTTTGATGTGGAATTTCTAAAAGCTGCTAACTCGGTCTCTCTGGGCAAACACAGCTTGCACTGCATAATAAAGCTGTTGCCTTTCTTGCACTTGAAGCCAAAATGGTCCCTTAAATACGGCCAGGGGTTCACATCGGTTTCTTCGAGTTCAGGGTCAGCAGAATTCGAGGGGGTTTCTTTTTTCGCTGGATCCGTACCACCGATGTCAGACTCCATCTTTATCGTGACCCAACGCTAATTTGTTCTACTACCCATCATTCCCTGCAGTATTTCCGAAGCGCAATGTTGGGTTTTTTTTTGTTTGTTTGTTCTTTTAATTTACTCAGTAACGGGTGTGATTGAAAATGTAGTGAAGTACAATATTTTTTAAAAAATATACTTAAGTAAAAGTAAAATTACCGACTTGAAAAATGACTTTAAAAAGTACAAATACACAAAAAAACTACTCAATTACAGTAACACAAGTAAATGTAATTCGTTATTTTCCACCTTTGTGAATATCTAAATACACTGCATTTAAATACTTGCTAGCCTGCTTGATCATTTTCATTTAGATTTTTAGGCTGTCTTTAAATTCAGTCCTCTGTAGGTTCATATTTCTTGAACAATATACATCTTGTCTTCCAGATTAGATTAAAATTGTTCTGCTTTTTCAACATAAATGTACAAATGACTGTTCAAATGCAATATGATGAATCTTCTCAGTGATGCCAGTGGTGCTCCATTTGGAGAAACTGAGAAAAATCTTTGTACAAACTTACCACCATAATGGAGCAAAGATTTTGTCTTGTTACAAGCATCAAAAGTCAATTTTGCTAATCTCTTTAAAATAGTCATACCACATATCTTGTTGCTTTGTTCTAATCAGTTCATCAATTTCTCTCAAAGAGAAATTACTCTCATTTGACCACCTTCAGGTGTCTTTGAACAGGCTGATCCACACACTCATCAGCGAGCCAAATTCTTTGCCTGACTGGTTGAGTCAGTGTGAAGATATCTGCAGCAGTTCTGACTAGAGATGGACCGATCCGATATTACTCGTAAGCGAGTTGATGGGAACAGCTGTTTCAAGTCCAAACGTGTCTTAAAAACCTTAGCGAGCCCTCCTCCACAACCAGAAACTCTCTGAACATTAAAAAAGGTACAGCCAGCTGGTAATAGGTCATTAAAGCGCTTAACTCACTCTGTTTATGTGAACTTGGCCATTTGCCTTTGCTGTTGTGTGTGCAGATGATTATCAGCTTTATTTAGCTTTTAGCTACCTGGATACTTCTCCCTGTCAATCATCACTTGACTGTCTCAGTGACGTTAAACTGTGGATGGCAAATAACTGTTTAAATTTTATTGATAATACAACGGAAGAAATTTTATTTAGCCCGCATTGCTCTATTGTTTCTCCATTTGCTGACATTGGTGTTTTGACCTCCCATCTGAAAAGTTCAATCGTAAATCTTGGTGTGAATTTTGATTCTGCACTTACCTTTGATGGTCATGTAAATGGGGTGGATATATCGTCTTTTTATCACCTCAGACACCTATCGAAGGTCAAATCTTTACTTTCCAAACGTAATTTGGAAACTGTTATTCATGCCTTTATTACCTCACGTTTGGACTATTGCAATTCCCTTTTAATTGAGGTTTGGGTTAGGCACACTGTCATGCTTGCAATTAATGCAAAATGCGGCAGCACTTTTTTTAACTCGTAGAAGGAAATTTGACCGTATCACTCCGGTTCTGGCTTCACTACATTGGCTTCCTATTGTTTTTAGGATCCGTTTTAAAGTCCTTTATTGGTTTTAAAAATTTTAAATGTTTTGGCCCCTGTTTATTTATCTGATTTGTTGAAGCCACATGTTCCTACTCACTCGCTCCGTTCAGCTGATCACTTGCTGTTGTCAGTCCCTAAGTCACGGCTGAAACTCAGAGGAGATTGAGCTTTCTCAATTGCAGCTCCGATGCTTTGGAACAACCTTCCCTTTCATATTAGACAAGTGTCTTCAGTGCAGCTCTCTAAGTCCGGATTGAAAACCCGTTTTATTTCGTGGCTTTTAACTCCCTCCTATTATTTTATACTATGTTTTGCTTTTCTTTGTTTTTGTGTTGTTCAGCACTTTGGTCTGTCTGGTGCTATATAATAAACGATGATGATGATGATTGTTAGGTTTGTAGCATAAACCTATTCGCTGGAACGTTAAGACAATATAATTACACTGCTAAGCAAGACACAAATAGGCAAAGTTCTTCATGTTACTCGTGCACGGGAGAGAACCGGACAACCGCTTGACTCCAGTTGGTCTCGTCCGTTCTCCCATACACTGTCCTTTTATTGAGGTTACATGAATATGCATAGGTTCATTAACATACGATGTCTACATACAAACAAAGAGTACCTTGCCTGTGTGTGTGTGTGTGTGTGTGTGTGTGTGTGTGTGTGTGTGTGTGTGTGTGTGTGTGTGTGTGTGTGTGTGTGGACTGCTGATCAAAGGGTCAAACATCCTTGGTCAGGAAGAGGGTAGCCTCCCCCTCACCCTAGATGGTTCATCCTAGATAACACGGTGAGGAAGTCCTGCAGTTCATCTAAACAAAGAGCACTTAGACTAGAACAGACGCAACTACGTTAATCCTACCATAAAATAATAAGACACGGTATGACCTCTCATGCTCCCAAAGTGCTGTCTAATACACACAAAGTTTGCAGACTATCAAGGATCAAAACCTCTACCAATCTACAACTAATTACAAAACTCTAAGCATATATAAGTAAATATTTCTAAGCATAAATGACAATCAACAATACAAATCTAACATTTCCCCCCTTTTTGACCTTTATGCCTGAAAAGTTCCCAGGTATGAATACGTCATGTCTGACAGTTTCAATGCAAACCTTTTTATACTCAGCATATGTCAAATCACCCTAAATTACTGAAAGGTACACAGTTTAATAAATGTATTAGCAGTTACCCCATTCATTGAGCTCATCTCATGGCAAACTGCATCTTACGAGCAACCAAAGAAATTGTTAATGTAATAGTGAAACTAAAAAAGTAACATTTTCAAAAACATCTTAGCTTGGTGGTGCTTCCTCCGGGTGTGCACATCACATGTCTCTCTGCAGAGTGGTTTAAGCTCTGCAGGGCGTCATGAATGTCTCTTCCAGTTGTTTCCATCACTGTCCATAGGCCAGAGTCCAAATGTATGTAGAATAGACATTCAAACATACTAGTTGGTTTTGTGGTTCGTCAACATGGGTCTCAGCTATTTCCAAGCTGCAGACCTCTCAGCACTCTAGTTTTATGGCCTCTTACCAGCCCCCATCACCTGACTTCAGACCTTCGTCTTGTGAGGGGATATTTATGACTCCTTAATTGTCCACGCTCTGCAGAAAAAGCTCTCTGTGGAAAGGGTGCTGGGTTCCGTCATCTTACTGCTGTTATGATCCCAGCAGCCTTCAGAGTGTCATCGTATGCACAGTATAGTGGCACAGCGTTAGGTGATGTTCATAGGAAACTGCTGTCATCACCACCATAGCTTCTGGTTCCTGTGCTTTCACAGAATCATGATGTCATCCTCGAACTCCTTCTGCGCTGTCGATGGAGCTTGACACGCTCCCCTCATCCCACGAGTTTTCATGTTCCAACGCTGCTGAAGGTTTAAGGCAGAGCACGTCGTACACCTTAGTCGTCTTCCTCAGCGTCAATATTGAATCTTTCATTTTATTTAAAATCTTGCTGTGGGAAGTCTCTTCTTGATTTCCTGGAAGCTTAGTAGCACAGCTCTCTGTGTGATGTCTGCTGTGCTGAAGATGATCTCTGATCCTCCTGAAGCCTCTCTCCCATCTTGTGGACGATCCTCTCCTCTATTTTGCAGGCAGTTTCATGGTCCTTGCTGTGGCTCCAAGGTCTGATTTCATGATGGGCCCCAATCAGCTTGATCTTTGACCTCAACCACTGCCTGGTCCTGTCAGCTATGCGCTTCTCACTGGGCCTCTGAAGATTTCTCAGGAGATTACTGCTGCACCTGTATTTCCTTGCTAAGAAGAAAAACTTCTATTTGGAGAGCATGTCAACAATCATCAAACCACATTCTTTAGTTCAGTGAACTTCACTTATAGGCCATCAAAGCCTCATCTGAACATGGGTGCACCACTTGCATAGGTTTAATATTTGTAAATAAAACGGCTAATCACACAAATCACTGCAACAATAATAAAAAACATTGTTTAATGTTAATCCTTGGACCCCTCCTCTTGACGCATGGACACACCCATGCGTCAACTCACCAAACCTGGATTCCAGTCTTAAAGAAAAAGATTAGCTAGATCATATCCCAGGTAACATCAGGGCATCTCCTCCCCTGGAGCAGCACCACCCTGGACCTATAATCCTGCAATGAAAATGTTAGTGTGCTTCGCATATTAAGTTTGCCTAACACCTGGCTCTCCCAGGAGCCTGCATACACACCATCATGGCCTGGAAAACAAAATCTGGAAGTAAAATCAAACTTCATACCTGTAAACAATTGTATCATAAGGACAAGAAGCATTCAACATCAGCAAGACAAGTGTCATGTGCAGGTTTTCTCAAATCAGTAAACTACAATTATTTTCATAAGTCGCCTCAGACATGGATCATCCCATGTACTCAGGCAACATTAATGTAATCGGTGACTGCTCTTAAGCAAAGTCACTCCACTTATATATATTACTATGGGCTCAAAAGTGGCCAGCTAATGAGCCCATATCAAACTATCCCAGAAACACTGTATCTCTTATTTGTTTTACACATGTCACTTGTCCGTTTCAGCTGAATCTTCCACAGCATTCTCAAAGAAACTAACATTAGCAATACACATTGACTGTAGTCAGACAGAGGTCAGACACAGGTCAACAGGTTCCAGAGGTGCCATAAAAACACCATAAAGTCAACCCTAGCTGTGGAAAGAAGTAACACCAGTTCTCAACACAGGAAATTTCACACAGGTTATTCACATTATCAAAGTAACCTTCACATTTTCCCATCAACACAATGCAACAGCATCACCACTCATAACCTGTAAACACAGTTTTCCTCACACATAAACCCAGAAATCCTGTAGTAGGAAAAAACATCAACCAGTTGTCCTGGTATAAATCGCATCATCAATTCACATGAAGAACTGGCATGCTGTAAGAAAAGAAAATGCAAATATTAGCGCTTGCGCAGGCGTATGCATACTTTGTCACAGATATCTCTGTGAGCAACACAAGCCTATGAATAACACACCTGATAAATGCACAGACACAGAAAATGGCATTTAAAAGGTTAAATCATCATGCAACCTCGAGTGTTGCTGTCATCTTTCTGCTCCTGTAAAAGGAAACACATGGGTTCATCTGCACCTTTGTCAGGTGGGGGTTAGCTTCACACAATCATGATCAGTCAGTCAGTCAGATATTTTAAAATTCTTACTCATTCACTCAGTGGTTCCTTCTTTTGCTAATTGTGGAAATTATCATCGCATTCGTTTCCACGCTCAGCAAAACGACGTTATTTCAAAAAGAAAAATAATTTAGACTGGATTTCCTCGTTGAATCCTTTTTTGGGGGGGACTCTCATTTCCTAATTGTCCCAAATAAGTGGCTTTCTCCTGAACCCATTTTAAATGTGGAGAAACTCACTTGCAACAATTTTCTTGACGACGTGTAACGCTTTTAATTCTCGACTCGCAGATCTGCTCAAAGAAAAGAAATTCACAAGCAAAAATCAGTGCTTGTTCAAAAATGAGAAATAAAAAATAACAAAGATTATCAAACAAAACTTTCAGTGCACTGTGAAAGTATCAAAATAAAAAGGCCTTGTTAAGTCATGACACAAGCTCCTCATCTCAGGAGGGTAAATCATGCCATTAGCATGGTTTATCATACCATCATACTAATCGACAGGCTCAACTTCACAACAAAAGAAAAATCATCAGCTAAATTCACTCCAAATCAACCATCAGCTGCACAACACACAACATAACCCTAATGTCATATTAGCTATGAGTTTAATCACCCGGTCTGTGCTCTTCACTCATTTAAGCCACAGATCTATTTTATTCAATTTTTCCTTTTTCCCTTCATCATAAAACATGTGACATGCTGTCATGCACTTCACAAAACAGTCTGTTCTGACGTATTCAGAGTTGTGTATCTAAATACAGGATTCACTCGCACATCAAAGCAGGAAACTCAGTGTTTTAGAGTCTCTACTCAACACACAACAAACTCCAACACATCTCATTCACTCGTGCTAGAATTCAGTCACCTTTCATTAATCTAAAACCAATCAACTAATTTGAATCAGCTATTAACCCACTAAGTTGACAGGACGACAGAAAAGCATGTTCAAAATAGTATCACAAAAGACAATTTCCCTCATACAGTAAATTACTTATGCTGCCTCAATCAAGCAGGAAGCTTCTCCCAATTTACCATTTTAACAACTAAATTTATTGTCTGATCACTGGTTGGTCAAACCAGGATCTTTTTTCTCACAAAAGTTAAATTGTTGTCCTGCAACTTGGAGAGTCAATTTTTTTCTTTAGGATAAATTCAGCATTTAATAATAAGTGTCTGCTAAATTGACACTATTTTAACACTGATGAAAGATAACAAGCTAATTTTCATTACATGTGTTTGTGTTATTAGGCAGGTCTAATGCATGTCTGTGGAGCTGCATCTCCAGCAGAGCATGTTCTTAAAGCTGCCTTTCCTACACACTTCTCTGCTATTATTTAATCATTTCTTAACTAATGTGCTATGAGTCTTCATGAGTCATTTTGTGTTTGGAATTGTTAGTAGGGTTAATGCATGTTCTGCTTGTGTGTGTGTGATTTTGTATATGTTTCTATTTTCGCAATGTTTCAGACTCCGTCTCAATTTTCCAACTTAAGCAGTCAGTTTTCTTTTCCCCAGGTTTGCTAACCCAAATTTTGATTTCCCACATTAAATAATTCCTATGTGTTCTCACCTAGTCTTCTCACTCTGTTGTCCTCTCACTCTTTTGTCCTCTCCCTCTTCAACAGTCCCGGCAGTTCTCCATCAGCTTTGTCCTGTCTAGTAGCTGAAGTGCTGCTGCTGCCTTCTTGGGCGACTTCTTAGCAGCTGCTGCCGGTTTCTTGGCTTTGGCCGCGGCGGGCTTCTTGGCTTTGCTCTCAGTAGCCTTGTTCATCTTGAAGGATCCGGAGGTCCTGGTGCCCTTGGTCTGCACCAGAGTGCCCTTCGCCACCAGGCTCTTGATGGCGGTCTTGACACGGGCCTTGTTCTTGTCCACATCGTAGCCTCCGGCAGCCAGAGCCTTCTTGAGAGCGGCCACAGACAGGCCGTTGCGCTCCTTGGAAGCGGCCACGGCTTTCACAATCAGCTCGCCCACGCTGAGGCCGACCTTCTTGGGCTTGGAAGTCATCGTCTTCTTCTTCTTGGCCTGAACCTCGGCGCAGGGCGTGTTTATGATGGAGCCTTTCCCACCACAGCGCTGGCACGTTGAACGCATCATGAAGGGTCCATTTCTTTCATGTCGCTAGCCGCATGTGGCTTGCCCGAGCCACCGCCATCTTGCTCGCCCCTCCGTGGAATTCATCCAATCAGACAGGAAGATGGGTTTGCTTTCTTCTGCTGCTGCTGTTTATCCACATTGCTGCTGCTTTGCTGGGACTTTTTGTGCTCAGGACTTGCTGCTGTCTCTTTATCATGGAGCTGCATTCCTTATCTTCAGGGAGGAGTGAGCTCGCTTGTGAGGTTGAGAAACACATGGCACTGTAAATAAGTCAGCCAGAAACTTGGCCTGCATGTTTCCAATGATGTTAAACTATAACTTTCTTCCGACTGTTGCATGTGGAAAATTGATACAGGTCTGCTTTTCACCTGAAAGTGACAAACTAAGACATGTTCATTATCATCATCACTGCTTAATCAACACACATCTCTCTCTCTCTCTCTCTGTGTTTATGTGAACAATCCTTTCTTAAAAGCAGAAAATGACATTGTAGTTGTTTTTCGGCTGATCAACACAAAACCTTTTTCCTATGATTATTTTTCTTCGTCTACAATGTAGTAATTTGTCTCTTTTTCACTCTTTTTTTTTTTTCTTCACAATAGCTGGTGGTCTGCAAAATCACTGCTCTCACTCACAATCAGAGGCAATTACTTTTGCACAGTGCACAAAAACACTGTGATGTCAGACACATTCACACTCACTTTTTCATCTGCATAAATAAATCATATGGCTGGAGATAAGTGCCATGGTGATCCATAAGCATGATCACCAGTTTATTTAATTATTTTTAATCCAACAAAACAAATAAACAAAAACATGATGCTGATGCTACACACACACACGAGTCAAGGTGCAGAAAAACTGCTCATGGAAACGCTGCACACTCCCTGTTTCCCCCTCTTTGAGTAGTTCTCAGACAGCTCTTGATCTGATAATGTGTAGCTTGCTCATCAGCTCAAAAAACAAAAACAAAACTGCAACGCGACATCACACAGTAGTTGCATGCTCTGCCCACAGTGGCAAAGTCTTACACTTACATATTCAACACAGCTTCTCCATCATGTACTTTTAGATGTTTCATACAGGGTTGAGCATATTAGTTGTTTTCACAGATGTGCTCTATATCTCAACAATGGCTCATAATAAGACGACAGTCTTTCACACAGGTCAAGTGCCTCTATGCACTTCATGAGTTTAAATATTTACCTATATCACTTCACCTCACATGTCATTGTACTGAATTTAAGCAACCACAAGCTTAATGTAGATTACTTTTAACAACTATCCACCTCAATTAAATCTATGGTCTGGCACACAGGCTGCTGTCGATCAGGGCAAGCTAAAGAATAAACATTGTGTCAGCAAGGGGTGGGGGGAAAGCCATTCACCAGAGCATATCTTAAGTGCTGCTGATGTGGGCTGGCCTTCTCCACAGCTCTCCAAGGCTGGTGTGTTTTCTGAAAACTTCTAACATTTGAATCTCTTCCATTTATAAGCCTGCGATTAACCGCACGGCTCAGGTCCGCGTGAAACCCGCGTGACCGCGCTCGCGTGAACCCGCGCAGCTGTGGAGCCGTCGCTCTCTCTCTTTTTTACATAAATACTTTGTGCTGCCAGGAGCAAAGTCCAGCACAAACGTCTGTCTCCCTCCGACTCACTCTTGGTTGCTTAGAAACCCATGATAACAACAACAGTCGGTGTCACAGACCACATGTTCTGCTCCGCACACACAACAACAACAACAACGACGACGACAATGACAACAACACAAAATAGGCCTACTGTCCAGCACAATCTGGACCCCGCGGAACTTCTCAACACCCCACTGAGCGGTGGAGAATTCACTACAGTACCCCACACAGCGGTCTGTATTTCGCCCCACTAAGACGGCGAACCAAAAAAAGTTCGAACTGCGCAACTCTGCGACTTAATGCTTCTGTACAAAAAACCCCACTGAGCGGCCTTGTACATCGCCCCACTTAGACGGCGAATTTTAGCCCCACTAAGCGGCCACGGACAACGCCCCACTGAGCGGCGAAGACGTAATTTTAGCCCCACTAAGCGGCCACGGACAACGCCCCACTGAGCGGCGAAGACGTACAGTTATAGAGTTGGACTCTAAACTTACTCGGTGTTGCTTAGCATGTAATATCAGCCTCGAATCCCGCCAATCGCCATTCATCGAGGAGAAAAGACATACAGCGAATCCACAGGAACTTCCTGGCTGACGTCAGTCTTTCAGCGTGCCTCTCCTCCCCTCGGTGAATGCGATTCCAGGGCTCCGGCATCGAAGGACCAATTAATGATAGGTTTGTAGCATAAACCTATTCGCTGGAACGTTAAGACAATATAATTACACTGCTAAGCAAGACACAAATAGGCAAAGTTCTTCATGTTACTCGTGCACGGGAGAGAACCGGACAACCGCTTGACTCCAGTTGGTCTCGTCCGTTCTCCCGTAACACTGTCCTTTTATTGAGGTTACATGAATATGCATAGGTTCATTAACATACGATGTCTACATACAAACAAAGAGTACCTTGCCTGTGTGTGTGTGTGTGTGTGTGTGTGTGTGTGTGTGTGTGTGTGTGTGGTGTGTGTGTGTGTGTGTGTGTGTGGACTGCTGATCAAAGGGTCAAACATCCTTGGTCAGGAAGAGGGTAGCCTCCCCCTCACCCTAGATGGTTCATCCTAGATAACACGGTGAGGAAGTCCTGCAGTTCATCTAAACAAAGAGCACTTAGACTAGAACAGACGCAACTACGTTAATCCTACCATAAATAATAAGACACGGTATGACCTCTCATGCTCCCAAAGTGCTGTCTAATACACACAAAGTTTGCAGACTATCAAGGATCAAAACCTCTACCAATCTACAACTAATTACAAAACTCTAAGCATATATAAGTAAATATTTCTAAGCATAAATGACAATCAACAATACAAATCTAACAGTCTGCTTCTTCTCTTTGTAGTTTTTGGAAATGTGCTTTGATGCCTGTCATAGGAGAAAATTGGCTCCACTCAAGCAGCCTCCACAGTGTAGCACGATGTTAGGAAGAGCAGTGATAGCCTTCCTTTTTAAAGATCCCTTTTATCCTGAACAAATCTTTCACTTTAACAAGTCCAAAGCCCCTTGAAACAATCACATTTTTCTTCCGTGTTTGTAAGATAGTGTCAAGCACTCCCGCAGCATTTTTAATTTGTTCTGTATCTCACAAATACTCTTCTTTTTGACACAAACACTTCAAACTTATATAGGTCAGTCTATTATAAGTGTCAGTCATGTTTTATTTATTTGTCAATCACATATCCAGAAAGTTACCCATTCAGTGTTGACACAAAGACAGATTTTTTTTTATTACTGATAACATTCAATGAAGTTACCAGCTGAGAACTTGTGAGACTTTAATGTACTTGTGCTCTTGCTCAGTTGCGCTCCAAAGCCTCTCCCTTCCCTTTGTGACCCAAAATCGCTTCTTTATCTGGCACAAATGTTTTCACTTGTGAACTGAAAAGGGCTTTTCTAATTATCAAGTAACTATTTGACATTAAAAAGTCAAGTACTCTCAGAGTATGAACTACAAAACATGAGCATGTGCACAGCTACTGTATGTGAACAGACAATTAAAAAACATGGATGATATATGATGTCTGAGAAATGTAATATTAGATTATAAATGATGTTCTTTCAGAAGCAGAGGTATTTCTTCATGATCAGATGTCTTTGAGTTGTAGTGCATTCCTGTAAAAATACATATTTTGCAGTGTCACTTTAAATTCCATTATAATTAATTTCTACTTCATAATGAAATTTTCTGTGATTCTTTATAGCCTCATACTAAAATCTAAAAGTTATTCTGTGTTTTTCCCTCCTATAATTCAGAACGTATCTGTCAGTTAAAATGTAATCTATATGCAACCAGAAGGATGGATTCTGTCTCCTCTAATTAATTAGTTCACTCTGAGTTTGTAATTTATGGCAGGTTGAGAGAAGCAGTATCAATATTTACTCATAAACCCCTCAAAGCAAATGAGAGACTGAGGTGTGAAATTAGCCAGTGACTGAAGTTTCCATATGCCACAACTTCCTCTCAAATTATCTTGTTAAATATCCATTTTCTTACCTGTCTGTGTCCAATAAGCAAGTTATTACCAGCTTCATTCAGTGTACCCTAATTGCACCCATTCGTTTCCTGTGACTAAATGTGTTATTAAGCCTCTCTAGTGTGAAAATGCTCCAGGAATAACAGATTTCTAAATGCCAGGAACCATGGCGAAGTGCTGCCATGCTGTTCAAATAGTACACCTGAGCAGGGCTACACTGACACTGCAGGATGATGGAGTAGGCGGTCTGACTCTCCTGTCAACTGCTGTGCAGAATATGTTGCTGAAATATGGACAAGGATTGAGGGGAAAAAAATTCAATTCACTACAGGCCATCTGAGGTATAAGCTGTGCAATCACCAAGCACTCACAGCAGTCAAGGCTGTCCATGCTCATGACTGCCACGATGCCATGCACCAATATGTTATGACAAACTTAAGCTTAAGAGACACAATTAGGAGAAGCCAAGAGCAGCCACTTAGCGGTTGGGGAGAACAGATTGACAGCTAAAGACAGGCAAAGAGGCATTAAAGATCAGCTCTGTCAAGAAGACCGGGACACAGCTCTGTCATCTCTCCAGAGCCCTCGCTCTGTGCTTTTCATTTCCAGGTCAGCACAGAACATAGGAAAAAAGCCAAACTGCCTAAAAGGGGCCAACTTAAGACAGCAAGTCCTGTCCTGTTTCATCCTGGGCTCAGGGCAGAGATAAGAGCAAAGGGGTTTGAGTATAAGTCCTCACTGATGCACAGTAGAACAGAAAAAACAGCAAATCCCACCAGTGAGACATGAAAGAAAAAATCCATCATCCTGCTTTGAAGTGTTAGTCTAGAATTAAAATATCTATATAAAGTTAGTACACTTTCACTCTTTTTATGTTCCTCCTGGTTAAACGCCAATCCATTTTCTTCCACTTGTTCATTTCAGGGTCACAGGCATGCTGGAACCTTTCTCAGCTCACACAAGGTGAAAGGTGGGGCACACCCTAGAAAGGTCTCCAGGCTACCACCGGGCTAACACAAGGAGACAGACAATTATTCATGTATACATACACACTTACAGCCAATTTAGAGTCACCAATT